CCTGGCTGTTTTCTCCTCCTGGAAATTGCTTTCAGAAGTCTCATTTCCAGTTGGCAAACTTCCACTCATCCTTCATGACCCATCTACATTGCTCATCCTCCAGGAAGCCTTTTCTGACTCCTCAGAAAGAATCACTGCCCAACTTGGGCCAGGTACAGAGGCCCCTTCCAACTGTATGATTTATTCCATCACTTACTGATATGTATTTGACTCAATTTGCTTAATCATTCATTAGACAACGCTGAACCCGTCTGTGGCTGGACCCAGCGCCCACACCTGCCAGAGAGTCTCTAGTGCTCAGATGTGTACACCTCACTATGTGAAGCTCCCGACTTCTCCTGGCTAAAGTCCAAATGCCTCCATTGACTCCACCCAATCACTACTCTGATCTGTCCCCATCAACCTGATAAGGCAGGTCAACTAGCTGCATAGACAGTAGAAGCCAGGTCTTTGGGAAACCCCTCAACACTTGGCAAACCAAGGCACAGAGAGGGCAGACCTATCCAAGGTCACACATTCTCCCTGCCTACTCTCTCCAGACCCTACCTCCTCTGAGTACCCTCTGATCCCTAGGATCCCCATTTCTGGCCCCATCTGACCAACAATGACAATTATAGTAATCAGATGGGACCACACTAGAGTCTTTGCACACGATCTGTAATCCTTAACTGAACTATGAGATGAGATCTAAGATTACGTTCATTACTAAGTGAAGAACCTGAGGCTCCCAGAGGCAACCTGGAGCACTCAGGGTCCAGGGAGATGGAGCCAGAAATTTGTACCCAAAGAACCAAACCCATAATCAAGACTCCCTCTACCCCATGTCTTGGGTCGAGCTGGGTTTGGGAGTGTGAGGGGCTTGCTGATGCCGGGTACCAGTAGCTGGATCCACAGGAGTAGGGTCTAAGGTTAGGAAACAGGAATAGGGAGGTCAAGACATGTGGGGGAAACTGAAGCTAGGGTCAAGGTGAGCTAGTCCTGAACAAAAGAAAGTCCCAGGCCTGAGACAGGAGATAGAGGAACTGGCTGGTAGGGACGGTGCAGCAGAACGTGTGTGTGGCAAGAGCCTGGTCATCAAGGCCTCATCTGGGGAAATACTTTGGAGCCTGTGCTGGGCACATTCCTGGAAAAACCCCAGAAACGCTCCAAAACTCTGTCCTTTGAGAGGTTCTGCTTCTCAACGACCCTTCTCCCCAGGCCTCAAACGTCCCAGGGGCGCCCCTACGCCCAGCACAAAGTCTCCCAGCTGGTGGGTTAAGGACTTCTGGCTAGAGGGTTCTGATCCAGTCCCATCCTGCCATGCCGAAGTGGCTGGGGCTCCGAGCTCTCCCAGAGCCAGGTCCGCCGCGCATGCGCATCCTCTCTCCGGCCCCCACCTCACACCCCAGTCTAGCCCCGCGTCCCCTGGCCCCCTGCACGCACTGCGAGAGCACCGAGATGTGGTTGAGCGCATAGAACACTGGGAGGGCGCCAAGCGACAAAGCCGCGATCTTGCCCGCCAGCGGTGGGGTGTCCATAGCTGCGGCACTCGGACAGTGGCACGGACCCCGCGACCTCTAGGGTGCTCGGCTCCGCCGCCGCAGCGAGTCTGGGCGGGAGGTTGCCAGAGACGGGCCTGGCCCCGCCCCGAGCAAAGGTCGACCCACTCTGTGCCCTGGTCGTGTTGCCACAGCCTTGGCCGCCCTGTGCGTTCCTGCGGAGCCTCCGAGGCCCCTCCCCCCTCGACGCCTTCAATGGACTCAGTGCGGTCCCCTACGGCCAACCTCAGTTTCTCTATTAAAGGATAGAACACGACGCCTCGGATGCTTCCAGATGCTTCCCCAGTGGCAACTTCATTCTGAGGGAATTCGTTCTCCTCGTTCTGCTCTTCTTTCTTCATCCTAGGGCACTGGTGTCCCAGCCTCGACTCCCAACCACATTTTTGTCTTCTCTTCCCCCAGGATCAAGTAGGCGTGGCCCTTGCGCGCTGAAGGAGGAAACTCACTCACTGCTTGGGCGCAGTTACCTTCAGAGCACTTGGATTTAAGTTTTCATGTGGGGGTCGCACATTTAAACTCGTGTTCAAATGTGAAGCTTTGAGCCTGGGGGCCATCTCAGGGCAGGCGGCCTCGGCCCTGGGTTGCGGCGCCTTGAAGGACTCTGATTCTGTGCTCTGAGATCCTGTCATGTAACCTGGACATATTATGGACAGCTGAGGCAGGACTCCTGCTCAGGTGAGCAGGGCCAGAGAGATGGGGGCCAATGAGACCGCTGAGATTAGGTGGGTGTGAAGAGTTTGGTGAGTTTGGTAGTGTTCCTGGCAAGAATAGTTCAGGCCTGGGACTGGGAGGCGGGGAGCCGCGAGAGGGTTCTGAACAGTCTGGAGGTTGGGCCAAGTCCAGAGAGAGATGTGAAGCGGAGGGTGGACCTATAACGGGGCTGCAGGGTGAATTAGGAGGCAGCTGTCTTTGTCACGCCCACAAACCAGCTTCGTATTTCCGCCCATATGGTACTTGCAGCTACTCGAAAGGGTAAGATTCCTGCCTGGAGGGGTTGCGGGACAGTCTGGGGTTGGAATAAGATTGAAACCCTCGTGCCTTCTCCATGTAGCCCCTTGGCCCTATGCCAGGTGGGTCCTATCTCTGAGCCTGGGTGACATGTTCTGGCCACTGACCTGACAACCTTCCCCAGATGTCTTTTGCCTTTGGGGTGAAATTCAGGTTCCTCTGGGCTGACCTGAAGCTCCAGTCTGGTTTCTTGACCTTCCCAATGCTGGCAGTGACAACAGTTCACAGGTCTCTTTCCCGTATACAAGATGGACTCTCCTTGTTTTTCCTCACCCTTTAAATTAGATCCTAATGTCCCCTCCTCAAGGCAGCCCTCCCTGCCACCGGCAGGACCAAGGGTATCTGGCCCAGCTCTTTCTAGGGGCCTGGCTTTGTACTGTGGTGGGGAGGCACCTGCGTGCACGCACGCACACGCACATACACACAGCATCTAGAGGCCTCCTCTTCCAACTCTCCCTCTGCCTTGGGGGTAAAGTCCACGGGCTGAGTCTGGCCAGCCTCCCAGCCAGAATTCAATAGAGAGATAACCCTAACCTGGATGGTGGGGTGCCTGGGACTGAAGCCCAGCGTCCCCATCGCTGTAACCTCTGGAAGTGGGTAGGTGGCCCAGGTCAAGGTGTGTACTATACCTGTGCTTGGGATCCTGGCACGTACCACCTTCATCCTGCCTGGGTACAGTACCATGGAGGGGAGATGGTGGCATGTCACCCAGCCTGGACTCTGCTGCTGAGATCCTCCCAACTCCCTGGAGGTCCCACTGAGACCCTGCCCAGGCCACCTGCACCACAGGTTCGGGTTCCTCTTGGCAACATTTATCAGTCTCAGATTGTTATGGGTTCACCAACACGTCCGTATCCATCCTGGGACACCAAATCCAGCTCAGGCCCTCAGAGCCCATGAGCATGCAGAGGTTGAACAGACCCACTTAATGCACGTGTGGGAGCAGACAGGTAGGTTGTAGGCTCATCAGATTCTCAGGCCCTGATACTCCAAGCATGGCTGCAGCTGGATCCCCAGGTGTTTCTGCACAAATGTGAGGCACTGGCTCTGGAGATGTGGGGAGCTGCTCTCAGCGTACACCTTAGCTTGGGCCACCCACCCACCTCCCATCCTCCAGGAGGCATATGTAATCTTAGCACACAGCTGTCCTCCAAAGGCACAAGACCCAGGGAAGTGTGTCTACCACAGAGGTGAGACCCAGGGCAGGTGGGGCAGCCTGGGCTGCAGTCATCACTGGCCGGGGCTGGCTGGGTTTTGGGGCCTGTAGCAGCCAACTGCCGGGGAGGAGAGAAACACAGATGTGTCCTGAGGGAAGGATGGGCCCTGCCTGGAGACCCCTGCTCAAGAACTTCCTGCAGTGCAGTGCTAGGCTGGGAGGACCCCCCACATATTCCCTGGCCAAGCTGTGGCCAGGTCTCACTGGCTGGCCCTGTTCTCAACTCCAACCCATGCTATGCCAATGGAGAATAAAAACTCCATGGGCAAAGGGCCAGACGGTGTTCTGAGATTCCTCAGGCTCTGGAGAACCTTCACAATAGCACCCTGTCTTCAACTGCCTGGCCCAGCACAACTGCTAAAGAACAGGAAAGGTTTCTGGGGATGGCAGGACCAGGCTCCCACAGTGGGAAAGCACTGGGACTTTAATACACACCACAACACTCGAGACAATGGGAAGGGCAGGCAGAAACGTAGTCCGTAACACTCTACAGTTCAAGAATGCTCAGTTGTGGTCTGGAAAGTACGTTTGTGTGTTTCTGCACAATACTCAGTAGTAAGGCCGTCTGGGGTTGTTCTGAAGGAGGTAAAAAGATAAAAGGGGATTAATGTTGAAGTCAGAAGGCAGTTCTTCCAACCTAGAACCTTCTAGGGGCAGCTGAGCTCACATCCTTGAGATGGTAAGGCAGGCTATAGGGAGGAAGGAGGGGCTCAAATGCAGGTGGAATGGTGGAGGGGGTCGATGGTGAGACCTGGCCTAGCTAGAGTGAGGAAGGAGGGACTTCTGTTACTAGCGCTGCCACCCCACTACCGTGGACTGCAAGGAACCAGTGACCCAGCCAGAGCAATGTGGGGGATAGGGGTGCACGCACCAGGGGGTTGGGCCGGAAGCGGTAGGCCAACATCATCCTCTTGCGGAAAGCCTCGTACTCATCGTCCTCCTTGGAGAGCTCAGCTGGCCGGTCAATGCCAAAGCCAGCGCCATCCACTGTGGTGGTGCCTCTGCAGGGGATGAAAGGGAATGTGAGCAGGGGAGCAGGCTGGTGCCAGCACGAGAGGGTGTGTGGGGCCTGAGCTGGGGCAGGGAGGCCTCGCCCACTGGCTTGGGCTCAGCAGCAGCAACAGCTCTACATGGGGCTGTGGGGGTCATGCAGGCTGTGCTGGGCTGAGGAATATCTATGCAGGACATGGCCAACACGGCGGGAAGAGGGCAGAGACGGCG